TCCATGTAGCAAGTTTGATACTATCAATCAGTCCTTCCTGATGGGATGCAAGATTTGGTTGACCTTGATCCTCAGGAGATCCAGATCCGATTATATCGTGTCACTGCGAAACGGCTTTTACAGCCATTGCAGTTCTTGCTGGCTGCCTGCCTTCCACTTGTTGCCATCCTACGAAGTTCACAGCTTTGTCGACCAGGCCACTATTTGGTGATTTTTGGGTAGATTGTTTGGTTTATGGTTAAAGCTTTTGCAAAAAGGACTTTATCGTACCCCTCCCCATCCAAAATGAAACAGATCTTCATGATTGTAAATGGAACTAAATCATAGGTGTCTTTCAGGCTCCAACTTCTCTTTCTTAACAACTGTGGTGAAGAATCCGTTCGTATTTTGCTTTATTTCAATTATTATTATGCTATTACATTTATTCTATTATTATTTTATTTTGCTCTATTTTTATTTATTGTTTTTACTACTTCTAGGTAGTCCTTTTATCAGCTTCTGCAAGGATCCCAGTTATTTGTGGGCCACTGGGCTCCTTATAAAGGCTAGAGCTATAATTCTGAACCAGATTATATCGCCTGGAAGATCTGCCTAAAAACTTGAGGAGAAGCTAAAATCCGCAGCTGTTGTACAGGAAAAATTCTGGAACGGACCTATTACATTTACAACCGCTTCAATTTGTTTATTAAATTTTTGGCGAACAATAATACGGGAAACATTCAGTAACATAAAATAATAATGATAATAGCATTTCACTGTTTAACTACCAGTTCTCACAGCCTAACCTTTTTCGGACCTGGCGCTGATTCCTTTAACTGGCTACGGGGACGCCATGCTGTTGGGAAGAAATTTGTAAACTTGAAATGTTATCACAAGAATGCTGAGTTGTGGGCAAAAGTCGTGCCCCAGGCGGGAGTCGAACCCGCACCTCACGCTTTCCGGGCGAGTGCGCTATCCGTTACGCCACCAGGGCCGCTTTTACCCTCTCAGCTTAACGGCTTATGCCGTAACCTTACAGCACTCACACGTTTAACTTGGTGAGCTACGTCACTGCGTAATAGCGAATAGGCATGGAACCGCAAGGCCGAGGTTCGACTCCCGCCTAGGGTACGACTTTTGCCCACAACTCAGAATTCTTGTGATAACATTCGGAACGCGTGCTGCGGCGTTAAACAGTAGTTATCATAAAAAAACAGCTTCAAAAATTCGTAGAAAATGCGAGCCGTACCCTCAAGAAAACCTCTTGGTATGTCCCCTTTCTCCGCAGTCCCAGTCTGGGCCTACCATCTTCCTAACGAGTAAGCCCACTCCGAAACGGAACAAAGTGGTAGGCTTCTGGTAACAGAAAGCATTTTCCTGGAAGGCAAATACGACCTACTTGCTGGAGATCTCCAAGGTAGAACGTGCCCTGAATTTGTTAAGCTTTGCGGCTTCCTGAACTGGCAATATATGAAAAGAAATTCCCATTCTATGTATAGATTCTGTGTCCAATTTTATGAGAAGTAACGCTGGTATTTGAATGCTAAATGTCGACCAGAGGCTTCTTCATTGGGCTCAACTGGAAAAAGCCTGGCTACTGCGCCGGCAACGGAAATTTAACTGTTCGAAAGATTCTGGTTTCCTTTCTTTGGTATGACAATTGTCTCTCCGCTTTCCAGTAGTTATTCGGAGGTTTTCATGCGCATTCTTCCTTCCCGGCTTGCCGTTTTATCTCAAGGTGTTACTCTACATTAATTTTTTGACTATTCTCTTTTTTATTACCACTCATTTACGTAAACGATTTTGCTGATGATTCTGATAGATCCGTCTGAGATGCGGCGCTATACATTTTTGATGTTCTTAATTTTTCTTTATTTGAAGCCACACTACTAAATGATGGCATGCGAGATATATTAATCTCCCTCCGCTTGTTTGAGACTCAGAATCTGTTCATTAATTGATTGAGTTTGTTATGGTGGGTGCACTATTTAATGATCCACGGCGTGTGGATGAGCAGTTCATGATCGATTCATCCGAAACAGGGCCCATAAATTCCTTCAGGTCATAAAGCTTCCGGTTTCACCGTAAGAAACATTTGAACTGAAAGCTTCTTCTTTATGTTCTTCTATTTGGCTGAGGTGGTGTTGCTTGAAGAGCTCTTCACCTTTGGACTCACTTTCCTAGTTGGAACGGTTTACAGTAATCTTTCCCCACGCTTAAAGGTAAAAAAAAAAGAAAAAAAAAAACACCTCCCCCAGCAAACAATAAATTATCCTGCCATCACATTTTTTATTAACTGTCGTATTTTAAATCGTAGGATGACTCGTCCAATGATTATTTTGAACAGTTTATGGTGTTGGTTAGCTTTTTTTAATTGCAAGCATTTCAGGATCATGTTCCGTCTCTTGTTCCTCCTTGGGGTAGCTGTGGTGCTCCGGATTGAGTACCTACTGGCAGCGGCCATAGTGAGGGCAAAAGCACGTGATTGGTCAGAGAATAAGGTGAGTCGTAGGAAGCTCTTCCTACAAGGGGGTCCATGACACCGGGGGAAAAATCAAGTCTAACTCATAAAACATCTTTAGGTGCGCATATTCACTGCACGTGTGATTTCACTGACTCATGCTACACTTTCATCGATAGGATGTTTATGCAGGTTGGATGAGTCTTCAGTTATTGGATTATTATTATTATTATTATTATTATTATTATTATTATTATTATTATTATTATTATTATTATTATTATTATTATTATTATTATTATTATTATTATTATTATTATTATTATTATTATTATTATTATTATTATTATTATCCGTAGCACATCATTGGTTGGGGATTTCGGTAGAGTCCGTACGACCCCCCACCCTTTTTTCGGGTGTTGGTAAGACCCCTCCCACTCCTCATCGAGCTGTCGAGCGGCGGGGGGGGGGTGTATATAGTACACATGAAACAGTGTAAACCAGAAAAATCCACGAAAGTCAACCACCTCTCCCAGAAAGCCTACCTCCCAAACAACGAGGCAATTACGCCCCCACCCCCTTCCAACGTCCGTGATGGCGAGAAAAAAGCAACTTTCAGAAATAATAGTTTTTCTCGGCCCAGTATACGACACCGTCTCTTGGGCTGGGGATTCCCCAACAACGATATGCGTACACGTGAAACACGGAAAAACCGAGAAAAGTCGCAATCGGGGAAATTTTTGCCAACGCCCCAAATCTCTCTCGAAGGCAAGTATGACCCCTCTCCCTCCTCTTCCGCTAGATTGCCCAACGTACAACGTGGTCTAACCGCATTGCTTCCTTATGATGATTATATTTTTCCGAGTAGCAGTACCAGCCTTCCTTATCGGGTTGGCCCACGAGTAGTGGCGTTTTATTCTAGCTTGAAGTTTTTGTGTACCATGAACTGTTTCGCTGCCGCGGTGTATATAATTGTTTCCCAATTTCAGCCTTTTATCTGATTCAAACTATGTAAAAGAACCGTACGATTATGCAACATACTCGGCACAATACATATTTCTTTTTTCAATGGGTGAGTTTCTCCGCAATTCAATACCTTTAATTTTTTCTAATTTCGTCCTGGAGGATCTAATTTCATGTATTTCTTGATTATTTATGTTACTACTTTCTATCAACATGTTTTTAATGACGCTGTCCTGCGATACCCATGAACGGTTTCAGGCTATTTCATCTACGATATGACGGATATGTATATTCACGGTGAAGCACCCTACTCAAAGGAATACTTTGTTCATCATTCACTAGTGAGTTTATTGTAGTTTTCAGTTTACTAATAGTGGTGACAGAAAGTGTTGAGTCGCATTTACACAGTTCACGCGATAAAGTCTCCCCCGACTAATTCCCCGCACAGGGCATGTCGAGGAAGGACGGGGAGTGTGGATTAGGGAGGTGTATACTACACCACGGACCATAGAAATCTGTTCGTTT